ATTCCCTCCCCCCCCAATCAATAACAGGACCTTATTATAGGACCCAATTATTGACCATGAAATTATTATTTCTATTTATTTTGTCGTTTTCTTTTTATTTGTTTTGGTAAATAAATGAGATGATGATAGTAGGGATGACAGCGGTTCGGTTTCGATTCGGATATTCGCGGTTTTTGGTTCTGCGATTTCGGTTTTGATTCTCAAATTTCACCCACAGTTTTGCGGTTTCGGGTACCCGAAAATCTTCGGTTTTGGTGCGGATCCTATATTTCGCCCGTGGTGCTCCGTTGGGTGCCCAAAATAGACGGCCCATCAAAAAGCCCACCAAAAACCCTAGCTATATAAGTGGAAATTTCCTCTCCCTCTTATCCTCTCCCCGTCTCCCGTGATGGCTTGACTTAGTTATGTACTCTACTACCTTTATGGCTTGTACTGTACGTTGATACTTGCTAATTTGTGACTGGTTGCCTGGTACTCTCTAAGTTATCATTTTTTATGTTGTTGTCTTTGGTGTTTTATTATAATATTTTTGGTTTTTTGGGTATCCGTTTGGTTTTTGGGTATCCGCGTGTTTTGGTTTTGGTGAAGGATTTTCACCCGAAATAGTTTTGGTTTTGATTTTGGTTTTTAAGTTTGGGTTTTGGTTTTGGGTGCCCTGAGATTCCATCCGATCCGAACCCGAACCGCTGTCATCCTTAGATGATAGGTGTGTACTTTTCTTCAAGTAGAGGAGTGAAAAAAATGTTTTGGACATATTATAGCAAAGAATAGTTAAAAGTGAAAGTTAACAAAATATTTCAACATTTGTTTTCAATCATTTTTTAATAAATCATAATACAACATTTTTTTTTTTTAACCCGCCTGTCAAGTTTTGAGCACAATGGCCAAAATTACATCATAGGATTATTTTTATCAACAATCTAATCCGACTTAATAATTAAAATTATTTATCTTTCATCCACTTACATAATCTGACATTACAACGCAGCTTATCATTATTAGTGACCCGACCATACCTCAAATATCTATTTTTATTTATTTATTTAATTAAGTATTATTTATAATTGATTTTCGTTATTGTTTTTATTTGTGGCAAATTCTGAGAGATGATATGATATCCAAAATTTGGATCCATATGATATGATATGATATTTGTTGGAAATTATAAAAAAAAAAGAAAGAGATGATAAAATTAATAAGGTAGAAATTTTTAAAAGGTGAAAAGAGAGAATTTGAATTTGTATTCTGAATATATCAAATGTGATCTCTATTTATAGACAATGAAAACGTAAGACTTTTGGTTATTTTTTTTTAGTAATTAAAATCAAGTATTATACTTTAAATATTAATTCTAAAGATCGTATACAAAATATATAGGGAAGAACCAATGTGACTTCGGTAGAAAACTTAAGTCACAATGTGACTTCGATCGGTGTCTTATTACTTTTTATTTTTTTGTCTTTTACTGGGTCAAGTCACCGATAAAGATAGTCTAAGTCAAGACAACGAAACAAATCTTTTCCAATTCTGTAAGGTCATCACTGTTAGACATGTTTATAATTACTCGATTGTATTTTTACCATAATTGTGCATGATTTTTAAGCTAAAGCTATACATATACAACATAAATATGGATATTAATAAAAAAAAGGCACAACAGATCGACCCCAAACGATTAACCATTCATACAGAATTTGTGTTGAAATATGTATGAGCTGGGAACTAGGATAGTATTTTATTCATTGCAATAGTATGGATGAAAAATAAAAACAGCATAACAATGAGTAATTGGATTAATATCCTTATTTATATCTCACAAGGCCTTTATCGGACCGAATCTACCCCCGGCCATCTTATTTATTTGAACCCTTAAATTCATGGTATTGGGCTTGGGCTCGGGCTCGGGGTGTAGATGTCCTCATCATTATCGGCTTGGTAAAGAGATTCTGATTCCGGAGCAAAAGCCTCCTCGTAAAGAGATGCTGACTCCGGCCCAAAAGCCGTTTCGTCAAGAGATACTGATGATAGTGGCCCAAAAGTGTGCTTTTGGGCCACATTCCTAGAGCTTTTAAGCCCAATGGACTCGATCATTCCACGGCGTCCGCCCGGTTGACGCATCTCGCAGAACATCGGGAGGAAAACCCCTAGCCATCATCAATTTTAATGAAAATTAATAAAGTTGAAACATAAATAAATAGTTAAAATTCATAGCTTTGAAATTGTAATTCAAACTAAATCCAGCCCGACTTTTTCTTTCTATATTTATATTAAGGTTTTAACCTAAATTTCTTGAATAAAAGGTTGTATACCTTCTCCGGCAGCAAGGTTGAAGTAGAGATCGACAATGTTAGGACAATTATTATAGCACGCTTCAGAGCATAGGCTCCGGGCAAACCTGCGGTCGAGGAGAGAGTCGGAAGATATACCGAGGGCCTGCCTGTCGACCCCACACGAGCTGATGCACTCGTCGGTCTCGACCAAGTTTTTAATCTTGTCGGCCATGATCTCGGAGGTCCCACATGTGTACGCGGTTGTCCCGCTCATGTGCAGGCGACTTTCAAGCACGCATCGCTTGCCAGATGACGACACCGCGTACGCGCATGATTTCTCGTCGAGGTCCTCACAACGGATGTCCATACCTATCGTTAGTCGTATCATATGAAACCAATTGAAAATTAGACAATACATTTTGAATTTATACTTCGAATATATTTTAAATACTCAATGCATAACTATTACGAACATTTATTTATACATCGATGAATCTCGTGTAATATACGGACGTTGCAGTAGTAATAAGAATATGTGATTCATGACATACCAAGAATTGATTGAGTTGAGATGGCTAGGGAAAGGACAATGACCAATATTGTTGTTGGTGCCATTGCTTGTGGTGAGGATTTAATCTTGAATTGCTTTGCTTTGCTATTAGGGGATTTGAAGGATTGAAGGATAGCTAATGGAGTAAGTAGACAATGGTAATGTAAGCTATTTATAGAGAATGGGTAAGTGAACATGAGAGTTTTTTCAAAATAATATAATGAATAAATTGGAAAGAATGTGTTGAATATTAGAAATTTCAAACTTAGGATTGCCATTTGATACTCACTTTCTTTATTTTGGAGAAAAAATGAACTTTTTATCCGACCAATAAATGATTTTTTTCCCCTTCTACTTCGTTTTTCTTTATTTATTTATTCCATTCATGAAATACGTTAATTTAATCTTTCAATATAAAAATAAAGTCACTACTTATAGTTGCTAACATGTACAAATTCTAGCCAGTCTAACTGTATTCTTTCAAGAAACTCATTAATTTTTAGCTAAATGACCATTTTTTATATAGTTGAGTGTCTATTTATATTTAACAAAATAATCATATTTTTTTTAGAAATTTCAAATTGAAGTTTGCTAATGATCATAAATATCAACTATATAATCACCTACACTGATTGTTTATTTCAATTGAATATATATGATAATAGCATTGTATAAATCGAATTCGGCGCTAGATGATCCTAGGAGCTCCGAAAAGTAAAATAAACAATCAACAAGGCAATTTAGCGGGGATAGACGGTCTTCGACAACCACCATTTCATAAAATAAAATCAAATAAGTTATGTGTTATCTATGCTTATGCAACCGATCTTCCTTCCCGATTACCATGTTTTACAAGAATAAAGTTAAAAATATACGAATTAATAGTATTTTATATTTATCAATTATATACTTTGTATATTTTGCAGAAAAAAATTCTAATTTTTTTTAGCCACAAACTCAAAGCTGCAATTTTTTGTTTTTCGAGCCCTTCTAAAGTAGATCCAAATTAATCTTTAATTAAAACAATTTTTTTGTAGCCACAAACTCAAAGCTGCAATTTTTTATTTTTTGAGCCCTTCTAAAGTAGATCCAAATTATTCTTTAATTAAAATCATTAGCTATAAAATGATTCCTAATTGAGATTAATAATTTGATAAAGTATAGGCTAATAATTCACGTGAAGAAGTATAAATACAAAACAACTTTTTGATTGGCTCCGAGGATCGTAAATGACAAAAGTAAACTAGAAGTCAACCTAATAATTATTGTTCATATTGACTAAAATTACTCTCATAATTTTGCTTTAGACCATCACGCACGACTACAAAAGTGGATATTATTCCCATTTGTGAATCTTAGGACATGACAGACAAATGTTGCAAGGGAGAAATTAAAAAATGAACTCAACTAATTAAATAGGTAACATATAAAACATCTAAATATAATATACGTGTATTTGGTGATCAATTAAGTTGGAAATAAAACACACACACACACACACACATATATATATATATATATATATATATATATAGCGGATCTCAGAATTCAATCTCACTTCGCCAGT